TCCTTCCTTCCTTCCTTTCATTTCCTTTCTTTCTTCTTCTTTCTTTCTTTCTTTTTCTTTCTTTCTTTCTTTCTTTCTTTCTTTTCTTTCTTTCTTTCTTTCTTTCTTTCTTTCTTTCTTTCTTTCTTTCTTTTTCTTTCTTTCTTTCTTTCTTTCTTTCTTTCTCTTTCCTTCTTTCCCTTCCTCCTCCCCTCCCCTCCCCTCCTCTCCCCTCCTCTCCCCTCCTCTCCTCTCCTCTCTATCTCTTCTGTCTATCTATCAGATATGTGGTGCAATGGATAAGAAGATCTGAAACCCTGAAACCAAATCTGGACTCAGACACTAGCTGTGAGATGCTGGGCAAGTCAATTAACTTGTTTGCTTAAGTTTCATCAACTGTAAAACGGAGATAATAAAAGCTACCTCTTCACAAGGATGTTGTGAAGCTCAGATGTAATACTATTTGTGAAGTGCTTAGCAAAGTTCCCAGCACATAGTAGGTGCTATAGTGCTTGCTTATTCCCCCTCTCCACTCCCTCCTTCTTTCTCTCCCCCCCTCTCTCTTTTGTCCTCTCCATACCCCTAGGCATAATGCCTCTCTTCTGCTGCAGCACTTTGGGGCCCTGGCAGTACCCCAGCCAGAGCTTGTTGAGTCTTTTCATAGAAGTAGGAAGGGCTGTTTTCTGATAAAGAAAGGGAATGTGTCTGCTAGTGGACACTGGTCTTCAACATGGGAATTGGGCTAACTGAAATCAAACTTTTCCAAATGCTCCAAAGCAGCCATTTGAAGGATAGATTTGCTCAAATTTCAAGGGAAATGACATATTTAATTACTAAGTATATTAAAAGTGAGCTTTTGACTGAACAGCCTGAGATAATGCTGCTGTTAATATTTATAGAGCACTTTGTCTGTGCCAGGAACTGTATAAAGCACTTTACGATTATCATATCATTTGAGCCTCACAACCACCCTATGAGATAGGTGCTATTATTTTTCCCCATTCCCCCATTTTACAGATGAGGAAACTGAGGCAAACTGAGGTTAAGTGACTTGCCCAAAGTCATACATGTAGTGTCATGTGAACTTAGATCTTCCTGAGTCCAGACTCAAAGTCCAATCCACTGTACCACCTTGCTTAGCATAGTGCCTAGCACTATGCTTAATAAATGGTGCTTAGGTGTTTAATAAATGTTTGTGTCCTCCTTACTCCTCCTACCCCAACAAATCTTTGCTCTATCACCAGAATGGCTAGTGTTCATAACATTAACAGACAAGAGGCAAATAGCCCTACAACATGAGTCAAATTGATAACAGAATAATCTATCTAAAGTCACTGTAGAATTTAATTAAGGCAAGTCAAATACAGTGGAATTCAAAAAGAATAATTATTATTATTCACTTTTATGATGCATTAATTTTTACAAAACATTTTCCTTAAAGTGACTCTGGAATATTATTGGGACAAGTATTTTTACCCTTTTTTACAGATGAGGAAACTGAGGCTGAGAAGCTAAGTGATTTGCTAAAAATCAGTTAAATGACTGATGAAATGACACAAATAAGTTAAGTGCCAGAGCTAAGACTCATGGTTCCTGACTCCCATTCCTGTGCTTATTCCATGACAATGCCAGAAAGCTATCCCTGGATAGCTTTGGATACTCTAGCACACGCACATGTACACGCACGCACACACATACACACACACACACATTTCACGTGGCTAAAATATGACACACATGTGCCAATAAAAATATCCGGGCAGCTGCAGCAAGAAATATTATGTAACCTTGTCTAATGGATATTAGTTCAACCCACACCTTTCCTAATGCCTTGCAGTTTTTATTAGACAGGATGTTTTGCCTTGTCCAAAAAGTACCAAAACCATATAAACAGTCAGATGTGCACAGAAGTCTATATTTAAATACCACCTGTTTTGTGTCACTAGGAAAGCCCAAATCTTTCTTCAGACACTGAATAGCAATGTGAAGGTAGGCACATCACTAAAGTTTTCTGTCCCTCAGTTTCACCATGGTAAAATGAAGGGGTTAAACTCAAAGATTTATCAGATCTCTTTCGCTTTCAGTCAGTGATTCTAGGATCCTAATATGGTCTTGTCCCTCTTCTTCCCCATTCCATCTAGGCTCTTACTGAATAAGTCCCAATAACATTTCAGTATGGTATGATAGAAAGGGAAAAGTACATGTCCTCCTAAGATCTGGATTTGAATTTTGATTCCAACATGTGGAAGTTATGGTCATCTCATTTTGTGACCCTGAGGAAATCTCTTGCCTTTTCTAACCTCAAGTTTCCTCATCACATGAGCCAATGAATGCCAAGTTTTTTAAAAAAAAAACTTAAACATGTTATATAACCAATGTCTTTTAAAAATTATTGAGTGATTTTTTTCATGGGGATAATAATCATGATTTTGTCTTCATAGAGACAATAATCATGATATTGTCTTCATGAGGACAATAATCAAGATATTGTCTTCATGGGGACGATAATCCATGCACAGTGTCACATACAATTTCTGTGTGAATAGGAGCTATTCTTATTATTATAACAAGTGACGTTGCTAGTGGGCAGAGTTTTAAGGCAAGGCTGCACCAAACCAGGGGCTGGGAACGTTAAAGGCTTCCTTTCCCAGAGAAGCCAAAGGAAACAGAAAGTAAGGCTTGGGGCCTTTGGTGAACAGAACACATTGTGTGTCCTGGAAGGCTTGATTCACACAATAAAAAAGCTCTTATTGCACAGGGGTCAGAGGTTTGAACTGGAGACATGCGGGAGGTCACACAAGCACAGCTTCATCTCTTAATCATTTCCCCTTAAACAAAGCCCCCGAGACCAAAATAACACCAGCTCCAGCTGCTTATGCAGCACTTTTCACGTTCAGAGGTGCTTCTTATCTTTTCTTAAACCAAGTCGCAAGAATAAATACGCCACAAGAAAGTTACATTGTCTTTCTGAAAAGAGAGCCCCCTTTCTTTGGTCTCCATTTCCAGTGCTTGCTGCTCTCTGGTGGTAATAATAGCTAAGCTTTATATATCGCGTTAAGGTTTCATACATACATTATCTCATTTAATACTCATAGCCACCCTCTGAACTAGGTAGTACAATGATTATTATTCCCATTTTATGGGAAGCAAATTCAGAGAGGTGAAGTGATTTGACCACGGTCATACAGAGCGTAAGTATAAGAGACAGGGTTTGAACTGTTATTTGCTGACTTGCTCTTGCCAATGTACCACATTGCTTTTCTTATGGTAAGGCTCTGTAATCCCTTGGCCACAAAGAGCTAGTGCCAAAGCACCCAGAATTCTCTCGAACATGTCAAATCCCATAGTTGTACGGTGGAAAGACCATGAATTTAGAGATAGAGGACATGAGTAGGAATTCTGGCTCTGATACAACCTGTGTGACCTTGACTAAGTTATTTAATTTGTCTGGGGTTCAGATGACACTCATCTCCTACCCAGTGTCTTTGTGCATCCCCCAGTTCTGGAATATACTCCCTGTACCGCCTTGACGCCCTGTCTTTTAAGATGATAGTCAGTCACCATCTTCTACAAGAACTGTTTCCTGATCACCCAACTGCTAATGCCCTATCTGCTCACGTACTTTGGTTTGAACTATTTTGTACATTTTTTGTATTTACTCACATTATTTTTTACTGTACATATTGATATGTGTATATATTGTCTATTCTGTTAGAACATAACTGTTCACCAAGACCCAAGCTGGAGCAGAGAGAGGACAGAGATGGTAGGGATGATCTAGGGTTTGCTGTTTGGCAAGATAGGAGTCACAGTAGAACGGATGTTGAATAGTGTATAGTTGAACTGGTCATAGAGTGGTTGAAGTGGAGTAAGAGAATGTTAGAAAGGTAGAGTAGTGCCACTTTGTGGAAAGCCTTGAGTATGAGCCCAATGAAGGTGTTGATTCAGTAAGCCATAAAGAGACCTTGCAGGTTTTTGAGGATGTGACTGAAACGACCAGAGCCTTGCTTGAAGGATATAATATCACAGCAGCATAAAGAATGGAGTGGAGACAAGAGCCAGTGGAGATGGGAATACCTCTTAACGATGCTATTTGCAATAGTTTAAGGTGGTGGTGGAGAGAAAGTGATATGTACCCCTTTAAAGTAGAAAAACATTCACTGATATCAGTTTCAGCATATTAATTTTTATTAAGACGGTGATGATTCCTTGCTTTGTTGATAGAAATAATGCCACCCTAGACCAAATCACTGCCAAAGCCCAAGTGAAGCATTCTATGCTTAGGAGCTGGTGACCAAAGGGTGCCCCAGCGATTGGGCCACTGACCCCATGGAATGCTTACCTACCGAAATGGAAAATTGACTTCCACTGGATTTTGGTACAATATTGTGGGATATTTTCTTGGCCATTTAACTCAAACTGGTTAGGGGCAAAGGAAGCACCAGGAATCTTTACTCTAGTTTAGAAACACATTTGCATTGCAATACTCATAGCTTACATATGTACACCTATATTTTTCAAAGTTATTTAAAATCATTTCCACACCCATTTGATCTTTACAAATCCTCCAAGATATTGAAAAATGGAATTTTTAGCTCCATTTTATAGATGAAGAAACTAAGGCCTAAAAAAAATTAAGCGCCCATGAATAATATAGCTGGTATGTGGCAGGGCCAGGGCTATGCTCAGGGCATCTGTCTCCACACTCTATAACCCCTAAGGCTCGCAAAGAGCTTTACAAATATCGCATTTATTTCTCACTACAATCCTAGGAGATCGGAGTTACTGTTAGCACCCCCATCTGAGGAAGTGGGAAACTGTGACAGTGTCCGGGGCTGGATCTGAACATCTTCCGGACGCCAGGTCCAGCACCCTACTCTCTGCACCACCTAAGCCTAAGCAGTGACTTGCAGCCATGCTCGCTCCCAGATGCAGGTGTCCGAGCCACACGTACTCGGAGCTCCACGGGCCCCAGGGGGTTAAAACCATCGAGTTGAGCCTCCCGGTGTTCTAGAGTGGCCTCAGCGGAAGTCGTCGTGCGGCCCGTCTGCTGACTTCCGGCGAGAGGAGCGGGAGTCAGAGTTGCGCGTGTACAGCTAGGCCGCGGCAGTTGTGGCGGTAAGTGAGTGGGTCTTCGCTGCCGGGCCTGTGTGGGCCGGGCTCCACTCCCGTGGCCTCCTCCTCCGGGCTGCTGGACCACCGCCGGAAGTTGGGTTCCCCCCGACGCCGCGGATTTGGGCCACGCTCGAACTGGGCCTGCGGGTTCTAGGGCGGGGACCGCGGCACCGCCCACGGGTGTCGCGGGAGCCGGGCCCTGCTGCTGGTGTTGTCAGAGAGATGGGGAAACTGAGGCCTCAGACCCCCCCCCCCGCTGCGCCTCTACACTCCCCAACTCGGGAGGTCATTGCCAAAGGCCACTCAGGGCGGGCAGGGGGCTCCGCGAGTGGGCCGTTGGGTCAGAAGTAGCCATTAGTCCCGTCCACGAGCATTTATGTGCCATGCCTGGGGTGGTGGGGTATCCACTCACCTCCCACCACCCATCCCCCCAAAAAAAAAGGAGAAATGGGTGCCATTGTATTCAGGAAAAATAATAACAACAGCAATAATAATAATAATAGCAATAATAACAGTAACAATAGGAATAGTAATAATTATAGTAATGCCAGTAATAGTAGTGATACAGTAACAATTGTGACAGTAATGATAGCAGTAACAACGGTAATACTAACAGTAATAATAGTGATAATAGCAATAAGTTAAAAAGTAATAGTGACAGAAAACAATAGTGATAATAAAAGTAGCAGTGCTAATAACAAATAATAATACTAGGAACAACCGTAGTAATAGTAATAATAAGAGTAAGAATAATAGACATAATAGCTAGCATTTCTATAGGACTTGAAGATTTGCAAAGCACTTTGCAAATGTAATTTCCTTTGATTCTCACAATCCTGGAAGGTGAACATTATTCTCCCCATTTTACTTGGAGGAAACCTGAGGCTGAGGGAGGTTAAGTGATTTGTCCTGTGGCTCATAAATGCCTTGAGGCTGGATTTGAACCCTGGCCTTCAGGACTCCGGTCCCTCCTCCTGCTCTTTCTCCACCCTTTTAGCTGGAGTCATCAAAGACCTTCCTTCTGGGGGAGGTGAGGCTGCAGGGATGATAATGAATATTGTTTTATGGTTCTAAAGTGTCCTTTGGTTCTCATCTCCACTCTGTGAGGTCAGTGCCCTGAGATGCGATCCCCACAAACAGATGAGATAGTTTGAGGTGAGCTTGGTGCTGTTGCCTCTGTGATAAGTAAAGCTCAGAATCTGGTTGCTGGGTTGACACCAGCCTCCCAAGGTGCTTGCAAGGAAAGAAGGAGGTTGCACACCTTAGAGCATCTCTTTGATGGCTAACTGTCATTGGTTTTATTTTTTTAACACTTGAAGCAAATTTGGGTGTTTCGGAGCAGGGGCTCTTCCCCATTGTTGTGTCCTTGGAAGGCTGTGGACCCCCTCTCATAATAATGTTTTTAACAATATAAAATAAAATACAAGAGACTAAAGAAGGCACTAAAGATTAGATATAAAGATATTTTTTTTCCCCTTCCAAGTTCAAGGACCCGCCTGAAATATATCCATAGATGCCTTGGGAGCTTGGGTTAAAAACGGCCTCTGTTGTACAAGAAGGAATTGAGACCCACTCGGAGACATTGGATAATTCAGCCCAAACTTTCTTTAGTTTTTTTTGATCATTGTTAGTGAAGAACCACGGCATGGTGAACAGAGAGGGCCTCAAAGTCAGGCGAACCTGGGTTCAAGCCCTGTTTCTGCCATCCTGGCTTTATGACCTGGAGAAGTCCTTGACTTCTCAGTGTCCTAGACAGCTCTTAGATTTGAAATTGTGGATCAGGGGGTGATTGGGAGAGCCTCAGTAGGAGCTCTATACGTTGAAGGCGCATGTCTAAGGGGATCCAGAAGAAGTAATGTGATGGGGAGCAGGTGAAAAAAAGGAAGGAATGATGGCACCTCTGTAAGCACTCATTCCTCAGCCTTCTCTTGGAGGCCTACTACAAGTAGTTTCCAGGTTTATTTCACACTATGCTATGCACTTCACACTTGCGAAAACACTGGACACTGGACAGTCTAGCTCTTCTAGAGCTTCCCCAGCCCTCCACCCCTATGTATTTCTGTAGGCCAGAGGTGAGGACTCTGCGGCTTTGAGGCCACATGTGGCCTTTTGACTGAGTCCAAGTTTTAAAGAACAAATCATTTTATTAACAGATTTGTTTTGAGAAGTTTGGATTCCATCAGAGGGCTACACTTGAGGACCTAGAGGGCCACATATGGCCATGAGGCCACAAGTTCCCCCCCCACTATAGGCTATTCCCACTGCCCAGAACTTACTCTAATCACCTCTTCCATGAAGCCTTTCTTGATATTCCACAGAGGAAAGGGATCTCTTACCTCCTCAAACTTCTCTTTCCCTGCATTTCTCTCTTATCACGTTCTAACTTTATTATACTCATTGTCTATTAATTCGTGCCTCTATGATGAGATTGTAAGTCTTCTAAGTTAGCATCTGTCATTTTCTTTCTTTGTATTCCCAGTGCTTAGCACATAGTAGGTACTTTAAATGCATGTTGAATTGCATTGATGCAGTCACAGTAACAGCATGAGAACCTGTTCTTGAGAAGCTTTCACTCTTACTCCAATAAAAAATAAGCACATACATGATTATTTGAGAACACAGATACACTCACAACTGGGAAGACTAGGAAAAACTTGTAAGAAGTGGTAGCTGAGGTTACCTTTGAAGGAGGCCAGGGATGCTGATGGGCAGTGTTCACGAGGGAGGGCAGTGTACACCTAGGCCTCTCACATTTTTTAAAATTACTGATAATGGGTAGGGTAAATTGTCATTGGAATTTTGCAGGTAGAGACTGAAGTGAGTAATGTATGATTTCATTTTCTTCTCTTAGAGTTCTTTTGTTCGGACTGACCCAGGATAGGTCTCAGTTCATAGTGTAAGCCCTGTGTGAAGGTTATGCTACACAGCAGGAAGAGGACCTATAACTTTATTCCACATGAAGTAAGTAATAGCTTTAATGTAATCTCACCATTGGCAGGTTATGAAGGCTACTGTTTTGAACAGATTGAGGGCCTTTTTGGAACATTTAAAACAAAAGTGGTAAACTTCATATTTTCAGAGATTTTAAAACTTAACCTCTTGAAGCTCTGGATATTTTAAAACTTTGATCTGATTTTAACCTTTAAATTTCATGTGACCATGTATCACCTCCCTCCTATTAAAGTCATCAATCTTTTTTTTTTTCTTATCTGTTCCCATTGCCTGTTTCTTACTCAGTCCTCCATTGAAGAGCAGAGATTCTTTGAATAATTCCTTCTTTCCCCCCGGAAAGCTATCATGCCACGGTTTTTTTGAGAGGTATTATTTCTTTTCCTTGTAATTTTTTTCTTATCCAGAAAAAAACAAAACAAAACACTTCTAATGATTATCAGATGTTATTAAAATACAGAACACTTATTTACAGTGAAACTCTTATTGTTAAATACCCTAAAGTAATAATTTAGATTCATAAGGTTGGGATTGTTGAGGTTTACAAAGAGAAAATATCATGAATCTCTCGATGCAATTCATTGTTGCATTTATTCCACCAGGTGAAGAAAGAACCTAAACCCTAGGTCAGAATCACTCAGGGATAAGTAAATATTGGACACCTATTTATTACTACATGTATGAGTACTGGCAAATTTCAAATATATTTTTATGCTTATATCTTGAACTTATAATATTTTTAGAATAGTCTATTCCCATTAAGAATTGCAGGTGTTCCTCTTTCAATGTATCTTCACATTTTATTATTGTATTTATTTGGCATAATTTAATTTAAAATTTGTTCCTTATTTCCTTTTGTAAAGTTAATTTTTTATTATGAACTTGATCATTAACACAAACATTACAATAAATGAAGAACAAAAAGGATTGTATATGGAACAGTATTTCTGTTCTGTTTCTTTTTAATTTTTTTGACAGTCTGCAGCATATGCTTTTGTCCCCTTCTGAATGCCTTTTGTACTTTTAAAATTTGAGTTATACTTTTAAAAATTTATAGCTCTTCCTAGTAAGTCATTTCTCTCTCCCAAAAGGAAGCCATTCTACATATAGCCCTTCTACAAATAAATGATGAGTATAGTCAAGCAAAATAAAACTAAATACTCATTGTATACCTCTAGGCCATCGCCTATATTAAGAAATGGATGCTTGTCTTATTATTGGTGTTTGGACCTCATCATTGATCACTGCACTGATGGGTGTTCTAATGTTTTTCAAAATTATCTTTATATTATTTTTGTCATTGTGTAAATTGTCCTGGTTCTCTTCATTCTGTATCAGTCTATATAAGTCTTCCCAAGTATCTATGAATTCTTTATATGGAGCATTTCTTATGGCACAATATAATATTCTATTACATTAATTTCATGAGCTACTTCCCAGTTAGTGAGCACTCACTTGTTTCCATTCCTTTGCTCAAATAAACAACAACAACAAAAGCATTGCTCTAAAGGTTTTTATAAATCTGAGTCATTTCACTCTGGCTTTTGACTTCTTTTGTGGCGTAAGCCTAGTTAAGTGGTATTTCTGTGTAAAAGGATATGGACAGCTTAGTGATTTTTTGAGTACAGTTCCAAATTATTTTCTAGAATATTTAGACCAGTTCACAGCTTCATCATCAGATTTATTTTCCTTCCCACCTATCTCCATTTACAGGTACAAAAGGACATCTACAAATGCAGTTAGGATTTTGTCATTGTGGTCCTCTTTCAGATTTTGGTTCCTTGGACTTTTGTTTAATAGCAGGGAGTGTAGAATTCATAAATGTTTTTCATGTATTTGTCTTTGCACTTATTGGTGTCTAATGTATTGTTTTTTCATTGTAGACAGGTTTTGATGTTCTGCCTGGGCAATGAAGTAGGATTGGCCTACTCCATAAAGAAAAATCACTATTGAATAATTTTCTTCTTTATTTCTTTCTGTCAGGGGAATTAACTAATATCTGCATATTTTTTCCTTTAGAAAATGATGGGATTTATTCTCCTACAAAGAAAGTGAAACAGCATTGGATCAAAGAGGAAAACAATAGAAAGTAGTCAGCAGGGCTTTTTTAAAACTCTCCAGGATGCAGTTAGGAAGAGCCAAAGGAAATATTTCCCGAAGCACAAGCCAAGGAAAAACCTTTGAGAATCAGTGTAAGACAGCACGGCAGCGGAAGAGATGGGGAATGGCTTCCCGATATGACACAGGTTTCAGTAGATTTAGAAACAGCTTAGAGGAGAAACCCTATAAATGTACTCAATGTGAGAAAAGTTTCAGTCAGAGTTCAACTCTTTTTCAGCACTTGAAAATCCATACTGGAGAGAAATCCTATAAATGTGCTGATTGTGGAAAAAGCTTCTTTCAGAGCTCCAACCTCATTCAGCACCGACGAGTCCATACTGGAGAAAAGCCCTATAAATGTACTGAGTGTGGGGAAGGATTTAAACAGAGCTCAAATCTCATTCAACATCAGAGAATTCACACTGGAGAAAAGCCCTATCAGTGTGATGAATGTGGCAGATGTTTTAGTCAGAGTTCTCATCTTATCCAGCATCAGAGAACCCATACAGGAGAGAAGCCCTATCAATGTATTGAATGTGGCAGGTGCTTTAGCCAGAGCTCTCACCTTAGTCAACATATGAAACTGCACAGAGAAGAGAGACCTCTTAAAATCCGTGGCAAAAATACCAGGACCAAAAATCGTTTGGTATCCAGTTGGAGAATCCATACAGGAAGGAAGTCAGTATCTTTGCTGTGCTAAACCAGAGACACCACTTGGGCCTGCTTTAATAAAAACGAAAAAATTACAACTCTTGTCTTACCATCACCCTCCTTGCCACCCCTTTCCTTTCCTGGATCTCTCTTCCTCCACGCCCTCTTACCCCCACCCAACAGAAAATGATTTAAATTTCATTGGGCTTTATTGTGAGATTGTTGATATTTAGGGTGAAAGACTGTGATTCCTGCTGTCATCGTCCTTTGGTTTGATGGTTTTTCACCTACAAATTCTCCTGTGGTGCTTTTAAGGTTTGATGCAATGAGAAGGTATGTGAATATGCTAGTGGTTGGTCATTGAATTTTAGGATTGGTCAGCCATTGTATAAAGTAGAAGGGAAGGGAAGTTAATTCCATTTAAAGAAATGATGGGTTAGCTTTTGGGCTTTTGGAACAGATGGGTTTTGTCCTTGTTGTGTTTGATGTTTTTCAAGTGTTTAATATGTAGAAGATTTATTATAAAAACTGAAGAAGGGTACAAAGATAGATTGAAGCTCATTTTTAATCAGTGGAGAGCAGTTTAATCCATGTTGGATTAAAGGTTTTCTGTTCCCATTATTCTGCTTTATCATTTGTTAGTATAAGAATATAATAGAATCTCTCTAATTCTTGTAGCTGCCTGAACTCTCCTGTTCTCAGCAAAAGATATAATAGCTGAAATGAGATTTAGTGTTCATAGGACTTAGGCATTTAAATTACTATACTAACAGTAGTCATGCTTTCCCTTTTATTCAGAGATAATGCTATTAACCTATAAATTAGTAAGTCAGTCACTTGTGTTTTTTCAGGAGTGGTGCTGCATTTACTCTGTGTTGTGGCTATGGGAATGAAATTTTCAAGACCAGGGTTATGAGTGTAGTCTGTATCCATTAAACAGAATGAAGTTCTGCTGGCACATATGGCTTTGGCATCAGTAACGTTGTGCTTTCAGCTAATCTTTTGGATTCATGAGCTCTTTGTAGTGAAAAGAAAGTTATAGCATAACAAAATATCTGACACTCTTATCTGGTCCATTAACTATTTGCTTGTGTGCTTGCTAATTAAAAACACATGATTTGCAACAAGTCTCCCTGACTTCAACTTTGAGAACTTTAGAAACCTTGATCTCATAAAGCAAGTTTTCTCAATAATTACAAAAGCCAATTAACTTTAAGTTTGGGTGTAATTTAGCTCCTCCTTTGAGATATCCCCCCCCCTTCTTCTTTCTAGATCACAGTTAACATTTTAGAAGTCCAGGAAAACCTGTTTCTGAACTTCTGAGGGAACAGTGTCATGTTTCAGACATCCTGGCCAAACTTAATCTCAGGGTTTTGGTTCCTATTGGATGCCGAGATTCTCATAATTTTCTCTATCTTTTGTAATCATTTCTGATCCTACTGTGCTAATAATGACAGTTCTCCATATGAAATAAAACAATATTTTGTACAATGCCAACCTTTGTTTTTTAAATGCTCGCTTTTCAGTTTCTGGTTTCATCCTTTTCTACTGTCTAATTAACCATCCAGGAATCTTTGGCACTTCCTACTTATCTAACTCCCCAACTTTTTGAGTCTTTATGATTCTATCCAAAAATGAGGTTAAACACCTTCATGTTCTAGTTGTCTTTTCCCTAGTCAATATCAAATTGCCATATATTTTCGTTCCTTCTGACAATTCTAAGGCATATTGCACTGAACATATTAGTTATCCTAAGTATAATCACCTGTGTGATGGGTAGCTAACAGTCATTGTGCTTTATTTCTGAGTACTTTTAATAAGATAAAGTAGGAAATCTCTAGTTCACTACTCCAGAGCTGTGTATATAGTTTTCCTTGTGTATGTTCCACTGACAGTAATGGATCTAAAGTTTCTGTGACCCCCACATTTGTTATGCCGGCACTATCCTGATGATGGACCTCTCCAAACTTAGCTAGGGAGGTCCATGGACAGGACAAGTCAATCCATTTCTGGGCATGTACTCTTAACCTCTTTATCTTGGTAGTCCTAATGAGAAAGTACACACTTTCAAAATGAAATATTGGAGTGGAGTGTAAGAGGAAGAAAACTATAGCTATCTTAAATACTTGAATGGAAAACAAAACTATTGGAAACAAGTAATGACAGATCTAGGTTTTATCCATACCTCTTTAGATACTATGCCCTTTTACACAGCTTCAGGCAAATACAGTGCATACTGAGTTGTTTTTTGTTGGCATGCTGATTGAGAAGGTCTTACATGTACTGTAAGACTTTTAGACTTTGTAGGGTGCAGAATACTCTTCTCAGGTTTCAAGAAATTACTAGTGTTTTTTTATCATAGCCCTTTGCTAACATCAAAAACTACCCTGTATGACCCAATCATTTATGATATAAATACCACACGTCCAGGTTTCTGGAGACAGTGAAGCTTGTCTGAGTTCTATGGTGTAGTTAGCTTTTCAGCAGAGCTATTTCTTATATGAAGAATGGCACAAGTTTTAAGTTTATTCTGAAAAATGAATGTCTTGTTATTCCTGCTGTTGGGGTGAGAATAAGAAGGCCTAAAAGGGGTAAAACAACTAGAGAAATCTGCAAGCCAGAAAGGTCAGCATGGTACAGTGCAGAGTGCCAGCTTTGAAGTCGGATTCTGGCTTCAAATCTTGCTTGACTGCCATTTTTGAAGTAGATCATAGACTTAACTAGAAAGTATCTTGGAAATCACCCAATCTAAATTTCACTAAATTTTATCCTTGTTTTGCAAAACTAAGACCCAGAGATATTGATGTGCCCAAGGGCACAAAGTCAGAGCTTAGAACTACAAGGGACCTAAGGCCATCTAGTTGAACCCCTGTACCTTACAGATGAGGAAACTGAGGTTAGAGGGATGTCTTGCCCAGGGTCACATAGGCAGTAACTGGCACTGTTGGGATTCAGATTAATCCCAGGATTGCAAATTTAGTGCTCTACTAATTTCTTTAACCACATATGAATCCTGTGGATGTCAGTTTCTTTATCTGTAAAATGAATGTTGAACACTTTTCAGAGTCCCAATTCTACATCTATGATCCTATGATTATATTGGATTATAGATCTTCCTAGAGATTGTTTTTTCCTACCAAAATCTGTAACCCTAAGCAACGATCACAGACATTTATTTCAGTACCTGCATTTGAGAAAAAGAAATTATTCTAATGGCTCATGTCTCCATAATGCCCTGGCCTTCAAAGGGAAATGAATGGTCAGAAAAAAATTGTGCTGCTGGAGAAAGTAATGAATATCTGATGTGGAAGCGTTAAGCTAGATGACAGTCTTTCATGGATCATATCCAGTAATTTTTGCATTGGGTGAGATATAAGAATAGACTTATAAGGTCTCTTCCATGTGTATATTCTGTAAAAGTAGAAAAGCCCAGAATGTAGCACTTGACGATAATCTATAATGGCAAAATTTTGCTCACCTTCCACGTAATTCTATAGTTCGGTGGGGTTTTTTTTAGTTTTGTTTTTGTTTTTTATGTTAGATGAGAGTTCTAAATGCAAATCTTGCAATACTGAATATGTTTTGCCTTTTTTCCCCTAGTCTGTCAACAGCTTGTTGATTGACTCATTCACAAAGTGACACACACAATCAAAAAAGGAGTGTAAATGACTTCATGGGAGTAAAATCCCTGGAATTAATATTTTCAAATGAAATTTTATTCATGAATAGATCTAGAGGTAGAAGGGACTTCAAAGGCTATCTAGTCCAATGCCTTCTGTCAGTTAATGGACCTTAATTCAGTCTAGGGGGTTGTGAAGACAAAAACAAATGAAAACCAAAACCATTCCCTGCCTTAAAGGAGCTCACATGCTATGGGTCCCTAGGACTTTGGGCTCACACGAAAGGGGTAAGAGCCCTGTGAGGCCTACTCCTCCCCCCCCCCCGTCTCCACTGAAGAGTGTCAGTTTCTCTCCGTCTCCTACCTCAAATACTCCATGGACATCTGAAAAAAAGACTTAGGTATGCCTTGTGTTTGAATTTCCCCCCATAAAGAACATGGTAAAGGATTCACAGGCATTCAAGAGCAAATGAAGTATTTAAATATATCTCATTAGACTCCCCCTTCACTCACTCAAAGTAAAGACACTAGGTGATTTCTGTACAAATGTTACACACACAGGGACGTATACACATACACACATGTATGTACGTATTTGTAGTGTTTGCATAATCAAAGTCATTTGTCACTTATAGGTTTGGCAAAGTTCAGGCCTGTTGTAGACCCTATTTTAGTTCTTTAGCTGAAGGGCTACCTGATAGTCGCCTCCCTCAGAGGGTCATGCTGTTGAGGAAATCTCAGGTCTGGTGACTGGACGTGTGAACTGAAAAATGCAATTTTCAGCTCAAACTTTCATGAAAAGTATTCTTAGAGTTCTCGCGTGCTGGGTACCTAGAAAAGAAACAAAAAAGGAGGGCTGCCCCAGTTGAGGTCTAGAAACTTTAACTAGACTTACCACATACTGGAGCAAGTGGGGAGTTGGGGGGAGGGATTGGTAAAGGGAACAACCCCCTCCACTGCCTTCTTGGTCCCACTTTTTCCCCATGGAATCCAAGGGAAAGAGTACTAATCGTGGGGGTCAGGGAGAGGAAGAGGTAAAACTTGTTTTTGCCAACTTCTGGCAAAACTTGGTCCTCTGAGTCTTGGTCAACATCCATCTTGGTAACAGAGTCAGTTACTGGTTAACTAGCTAGCCTATAAGCATAAAGCAGTGCTACGTGTTCCTGATCAACCCTTATTACACTCCTTCCAGTTGAGTATTTGCTGTTCCAGCCAATCGAACTTGGGTGTCATTGTATATATTTTTCCTTATCTCAATTTCTCCTGTGAGGAAGTCCGTGCCTGGTTTTTTTGTTTGTTTCCCATGGTGTCTAGTACTGTAACAGTCTCAGCAAAAACCATGCAGCATAATTCTTAGACATTCTCAAGTTAAATAAAGTGTTTCATCAGTCCAAATTTTCCATAACTGGTGGCCTTGGAGAATATATCCGCTGCCACCACCCTCCCCAGAGAAATGAAAGCAATGAATAACTTATCAGCCACCACCCCCAACAAATGAATAAGCAAACAAAGAAGCAACAGAGGGGAAGTCTAGTGCCAGATGAGCTTTAAGGTGTGTGGGACCCTCCTCAATAGGAACTGGAGTTCTGAGGTGAATTAGGAGTCAACCTTTTACATTCAGGGGAGAAGCCAAGCTGTCCTGTATGAAAAGTTCTCAGCCCCATAGAGAAGCCCTAGATAATTTCACCAGTAGTTTCACTGTAGCGCCTAAAATGACCAGAAATAGAGTTCCAAACAAAATTTCTCCAAGGAATTATTCCATTTACATTTTTATCCTGAGGCCCCTAGGAGACTTAAGTTCTTGCCCTAAGATGCCTAGGGAGGTAAACATCAGAGTATCTGACTTTGCTCAGGCTATCAAATTCCATTCTCCACTCCTATTTTGGAAACAGTCTTTATCTTTTTATTCTTTCAAAGTGCCTAGCACTGAACCTTCCTGGGAGTAAGTAGGTATCCAATAACTATTGATGGAATGAATATTTATAAGAAAAAGAGCACATGTGGCTTCTAAGCCTCAATGACCCTATACCTTGAGTTGCAGTTTACCGGAGAAATGGGGGAGGTAGAGGGAGTTTCCTTTGGTGACAGCTTGTCTCTTGGAAAAGCGTGCATTGAAGATATATTCAGGAGTAAGAATGTTTACATCTCCTTCTAAGAAAGACAGTGTGATGTCACGGATGGAGCATTGAAGGTAGGAGTGCTGGCTTTGAATCCTGCCTGAAATACTGGCAGTATAAATGGTCATAGGCAAATCACTCAACTCAGAATGTCAGCTTGTACGTATGTAAAACAGCAATTCTAATACTTACGCTCCAGCTTATAGGGTTATTTGGGAAAGTGCTTTGCAAACCTTAAAGTACTCTCTGACTGAATTATTATTGTTTAGTCAGCTAGTATAGTGATGGACCTCGTCAAATATCTTTCTGGAAATCCAGGTATGTACTATGCCTATTATGTTCCGCTAATGAGAATAGTCTGATACGACCTGTTTTTTGATGAAGTTATGCTGCTTCTTTGTGATTTCTTTAACCCTTCAAAGGTGCAGAAACCAATAATGTGTTCTAGAATTTTTCAGGAATTGAGGTCATTTACACTGGCCCATAGTATGCCAACTCTTATCTTCTCACTCCCTCTTCCCTTAAAAATTAGGACATTTCACCCCTTTCAGTCCTACAGTTCTTTAGTTCTTAAAGGCTGTGCTGGTCGAGCATAAGCTTGGACAGGCCTTCTCACACTGGATAAGAGTTTGAGCGTAGCTCTGGATAGGTAGGTCTGCTTTTTGTGGACCAGCACAGCTAAGTTTGGAGAAGATTAACAGAAGATTGTTGACAATGGGTTCTACTCCCCAAATCACTAAGTGCTGAACTTTTTTTTTCTG